TTTTTCGTTTCGGAGGGGCTCGACCCCTCCACAAGGTCCAATCCTTGCCTTGTCGTAGGCCGACAGAAGGTCCGACTATTCTCTTCGCGATCTTCTCTCTGACAATCTCGTAGTAGGTCTTCTTACGAGTTCTTCTCCTTCCAAGGTGCGATCGCTGTCCTAATAAAGATCCTCCGACGGCGTTCTTGGTTTGGTCCTTCAATTGGTTGCTTACTAGTAGTCGCTGTTTCAGAACTCTGTCCCTTATGCCAGTGTTGCATTCAGGGTACTTCCAACATCTATTCTCCTCTGTCCTTTTCGGGGTTTCTTGTTCAGCATTAACTCTGACTGAATATTTCTTTACGAAATCTCCCTTGCGCCTTGTCACACCTGCACGGCTAGTCACATTTCTGTTGGCAGCCAATTCGTTGCCGTGGTCCACACTTCCCTAGAGTCGTAGTTTTCCTGAAGATGTTCCTCTTGAGCCATGCCACTGTTGCACGGCGAGACACCTTCCTGCTAGTTTTCTTCTGCCGTGCCACTTCCACAAGGCGGCTCGTCCATCTGCGGGCTACGGCCAACTTCTTTTGGAGTCCACAATTTTCCCATGTCGAATTCTTCATATTTCGCTGGTTTCGGTCTATACGTCTTTTCTTCTTCGGTTCTCCGACAGGCATTACTTCGGCGTCTTCTACGGGGACATCTTGTTGTTCTGCCGCCTCAGGTTTCTTGTCCGGTGAGGTCGGCTCTTCTTTTGGACGTGTCTCCATTTCTTGGCAGGCCATCGTCCCGTTTCGGGTTTCCGTTCGATGTCCATTTCTTCGTGGCTGGCTCTCATCTCTTCCCGCCAGGCTTTCCAATCGGCCATCATTTGTGCATTCCTGGCGTCTGCCTTGGCCTGGTTGCTTCCCGCTTCTTCTCGCATAGCCAGCAGGAGTTCCATCATTTGTTGTGACTCCATTCTTCTTTGCTTTATAATGTAACACTCGTTGTGCTCATAAATTCTACAATTCTTCCAAATTCGCCTCAGAATCCGAACTGGTCCCACTTCTGACACCAGTTTGTCACGTGTTGTGTATATCCCGCGACAAATAACTTTAGGTGGGTCTCGGATTTTGCGAATCTTTATTGAACACACTTGTTTACACACTTGCGAGTATAATTATTGTCCACCACTTCACTGTTATAATTACTTCTTGTATCACTGATCTTGGTGAAGTCTGCTATTCTTCACTGTTACTCCGTTATTCAACCGCTACATCCGCTACCCTTCTTAGTGGTGCTCGTCCCGAGCACTTCCATGGTCCAGGATTTGTTGGTCCAATTGTCTCACATTCATTCCTCTTTTTCATTCTTTCCTCATTCATTCTTGCTAGGGAGGCCGGTGTTTCTACTACCGGTTCCTCCGATACGGGCCTTTCCCTTTTTTTCCATTTTGGAGGAGGTCGACCCCTCCACAGTGTCCAGTGTCTCATTTTCGGTAATTTACTGGAAATTGCACATATGCAATTTTCAGTTGGCCGACAATTTTCCACGTCGCCGAGAAACATTGCGTTTAATGGGAGTGCTCACACATCAGGATAGTTGTTCCAGCAGTCGGTGAGCAGTTGGGTTCTACCTCAACTGCCCGCCGACTCTACCGTTGTTGATAACGCCGGCGTACATGAGCTGTTATGGGTGTGCTCACACATACAACTAGAAATCGTGCATGATTCGACCCTCAGTCAACAAGTTGTCTTTTTCTGCCTGTCTTCGCGTCGCTGTAGTTGCTCTAGTTGCAGCATGTGTGATCAAAGCATCGAGAAGCTTATAGTAGAAGTGGAGAAGCGGCCAGCTCTTTATTTAAAACCACGCAAGTAGTATTCCGATATTAATCATAAGGAGTTGTGGGAAGAGGTGTGTACCGCTTTGATTGAAAATTGGAACGGTCTGGCTCCTGAAGAGAAAAAGCTGAAGGTAATTATTTATACTTTAGGTAGTTACAATCTTCATAAATTACATACAGTGCCGAATATAATACTTTAAGACAATGAATATCTGTTAAATGTTTTAATGATATATAGTACAACTATTTGTGTATTTGAAAAGTTTTCTGTAATATATTACATATACAGTATTTTTAGCTTCAATTTTTATTTCATTGGCAATTCTTCCTGAAGTGTAACGAGTCTAATAACTTACATAAAAAGTGACCGTACCCTTAATGTTATGTAAGAGAAAAATACTATTTTTGTGTGCTTTGATTTTGCGATAATAATTCTAGAAATATGAAACTCTATTTCATTCATGACAATTTTATTAATTAATTAGAAAAAATATGATTAATATGTTAACATTAACTTTATTCCGTTATTAATAAATAATGAATTGGTATTATTTCAAAGGGCGTAAGTCTTTTAGTATGCAAGAATAGCACAGTAATTAATGTAGGCCTATATCAATTAACACAAATAAAATACAATTAAACAAAACAAATTGATGATTATTATTATACTAAAAGTGTTCTTATTTCCTTGCCTTAGGCTTACAATAAGTATTTCTTTTGAAACTTTGATGGGCATTGTCTCAGTTCATGGTACAATGTGTAAAATTTTCCTTTTAACAGACGTTCGCTATAAATAAGGTGAACCCAGTATTCCCGCTTCCTCTTTCCTTAATCTTAACAATAATCACGTACTACTGTTGTATCATACACATCCATGCTGCGACTGACCGACTGATCATTGGCATAGTTGTGGAAAACTCGAAATTGTATGTGTGCGCACGTCCCTCAATAGTCGTTGGGCCTCCTCGGTCGTACACAACTATCGGCCAACAATCGTTGAGCTGAAAATTTCATGTGTGTGCTGGACCTAATTTGACTAATGAAGTGTTCTGTATCTGTATTGTTTAAAGGCTTGTAGAAAAACAAAATCAAATTTAAGTGAAAAGTTCTGAGACTATTATCTGAATATGTATCTTTATTTCTTTGCCAGTCATTGATTCATTATTCACTTTTAAGTTCATTAATAAATGATATTGCTTCAAAACAATTAAAAGGAGAAAATAAAAAACGTTTCTTCTATAATCACAGTATTATTTACAATTACAATGCGTTCAATGATCCAGGAAACCTGGCAAGAGCGAGGAGCTGGAACAATATTTTTCACAGATTGCTGGTGTATCTGCCGTCACCAGAATGAGTCTTTAGAGCTGATATACGCGCGCTATGTCAGGTGGTCTGATCTTGTCACTGCAGTAAGTCACACTAATAGTCTGTGTTAGAGGTGTCGATAGGCGGTCGACATTTATATCGAAATGAAGTTCACAATTGAACAGCGTATGTTTATTGTCGAACTTTTGTAAGGGGAAAAAAATCTTAAGAAAATAGTATATCCGTAAGTTTCGTCGTAAATATCCTGACTCGCCAGTTCCCACAAAGTCGTGTGTATCAAAGCTTGTGAAAAAGTGGTGGGCCACCGGTTCATTGTGTGACATAGAGAAGCAATCGAAGAGGATTGTGCTGACTGAAGAAAAGGCTCGGGATATTGAGACACGTCTACAGATTAACCCTCGAAAATCATTAAAACGCTTAGCACAGGAAACCAGGGTTTCGCTAGGATCTGCTTTCACAGCCACAAAATTAATCAAATTTCGCCTGTATAAAATAACAGATGTGCGTGAGCTGAAACAATCCGATTATGCAACAAGAATTCGTTTTTGCAGCTGGCTGCTGCAAAATGTGCACAATGGAATCGTGGATCCACAGCTTCTGTTCATGACTGACGAAGCGCTGTTTCACGTTAGTGGTCATGTCAATTGTACAAAATGTAAGAATGTGGAGCAGTGAAAATCCTCACGCTATACAGCAAGTGCCATTACATAATGAAAATGTATGGGTGTGGTGTGCTGTAAGTGTTTGAAGACAGAATAATCAGCAGGAGACTGTGGCCTCCCAGATCCCCATATTTTAGTTTTTGAGATTTTAATTTCCGTGGACCAACTTCAGAAATGTCGCATAATTTATTTATGCGATACGAGGCATATTTGCAAGCAATCTTCTTACAGTATTCTTGTAAATGTGTACATATACAGAGATTGATATGAGGGAATCAACGACATGACTGCCCTCTTGTTAGCGGGGTAGGGAACACTGGTTGCGGGGAAATAATCCATCAGCTCTACGCTAGCAAGAGTGCGCGTTTATCAGTGCCAGTGACTTATTCCGCTATCGGCAGTTACAGTAGCAACCTGTGAGAAATATGTCCGATCGATACTGCTGCCAGGTTTCCTCGATCAATGAACGCCCTGTATGATGCTATAATTAATGTAGGCCTATATCAATTAAAACTAATAAAAATGCAGTTAAACCGAACAACAACGATGATTTTGTATAATATTGAAAGTATTCTTATTCTCTTATCTGAATGTTACAACCAGTCTTTCTTCAGGTGGTATAGCCAATTTCATCTTGTATTCTTGTACAGGATATGAGGTTTCAGAAGAGGTAACAATTCGTCAAAACTATCAATACTCATTCTGAAATGCAGTATTTGAAATTTTTTATGAGTGTTGTCTCAGTGCATGGTACAATGTGTAAAATATTCCTTTAAGCGGATGTTCACTATAAATAGGCTGAACCCAATATTTCCGCTTTCTTTTTTTTCCTTAATCTTAACAACAATGCACATAATGCTGTTGTATCGTACACACCCATTCTGAAACTCATCGACGCTCATCGACTGACCATTGGCGTACTTGTGGACAACTCGAAATTGTATGTGTGCGTGCACGTCCCTCAGCAGTCGTTGAGCCTCCGCGATCGTGCACAACTATCGTCTAACAATCGTTAACCTGAAAATTGTATGTGTGCAATGCGGTGGAATGTGTCACAGGTGACATGGATACATGCTAATCTTCTGCCATCTATAAGCAAACGATGGGAACTAGATAGTCAGATTTTCAAACACAGTACTCAAATTGCAATATATCGAATCGCGATTGTGTAAACCAGTACAAATACATCTATTGCAGTTATCGAATCCCATTTCTGTGAACCAGTTACCGCCGGTCACAGTACCCTCATTTTCCGCTCGTTTATCTATTTTGGTGTCCGTTTCCTTGAAAGAGGTTAAGTACACAGAGAATAGGGAACATAGGGAAAGTAGGTAAGCAGGGCGAGGGCAGATGAGCCCGTTGTTAACTGCAAGTTTCAGCAGGACATGTTGATGGAAGGTGTTGTTACGTGCGAAGTGCTTCTAGTAATATTGCAATTATAGTATCTGTAAACCTATAAAGGACTGATGGCAAAAGCTGAAGGAAAAGCACCCTGCATAGAGTTGGGATACTTAGAAGAATGTGCTGCATGGAAATTAGAAAGTAGATTTTTCCCTTGTAAAGTGGGTGGAAAACCAGCTTGGTTAGACCTATTCGATGTGCCAAGTAAGATTCCTTGTGGTAAATGTGATAAACAGTGCATTTTTTTATGTCAAGTGTATGCCCCATATGAGGAACTGGATTCTTGTTTTCATAGAACAGTATTTATATTCATCTGTAGAGATCCTTCATGTTGTAAATATAATGAAAATAAAAACTTAGTAGTGTACAGATGCCAGTTAAACAGAAGAAACAAATTTTTTATGTTTGAACCACCTGTTGAAGAAGAAAAGTGGCAACCAGATATATCACCTGAGCTATGTAAAACATGTTGCGTTTGTGGTGCTAAGAGCGGTAGTCACTGTGGGAAATGCAAAGTGGCATATTACTGCAGTAAGGAACATCAAGTAATTGACTGGAAATTGGGTCACAAGGAAAGGTGTTCATCAGGTTAGTTGGTTTAGAGAGGAAGTCATTGAATGTATAAGTTCGCTGCGGTTATTAGACATGAAGGTTTTCATATGTTTTGTTGAAAACAAAAATATGCCACCCACACAGAAACGAAATATCCCCATCCATCATCACTAACCCTTCCACAGTCACACTCATGAATGACCCACTGACTGTTGTGTAGTTGAGTCCTAGTGTGGGTGTAATTGTGCATCAGTGTAGCAGTATAAGAGCAAATACCGTCCACAGTAAATACACCTTGAAGGTTACTAATGTGTAGGGTTTGAAAAACTGATGCTTATAAACCTACGATTGTTTGCACGTTAAGCAAAGAGAAATCAAAACTAAAAAATTTTTGCTCAGACCAATCTAATTCAATTTGATAGTAGCATTTCACAGCATAAGCCATCTGTGAGAGTCAAGACAAGCATTGAAATCGATAAAAGAACTCCACAGACATGAGGCCTAGCACCTCTGTACATGCACTATTTCATGGATGTTGTTAAAATCAGACCACTATCAGAATAGAAGTCATCACTAAAGAGACAAATGCTCTATATGGTACCAACATAAAAGTAATTACACTGGATGGAGTTGTAGTTTCCTTACTTCTGCTGTGATAATGGGCGTCCAGGTGCGAGAGGGGGACTAGCTCTTTTGATTGGGCCCAACTGATTAGGTTCCACCTGAAGGTGGATACAGAATTCAGACACTCAAATGTGTTTTAAATAAAAACATGATAATGGCTAATGTCCAGAAATACAATAATTGTACACTCTTTACAGTTTTCCATACCTCCCTGATGATGATATGCTGTTTATTTATTACAGATATAAATGTGTTGTTGGCAGATATATTCAGCACTACAGATACAACACTGCATAGAGTTGTAAATTCTGTTGACAAAGCTGTGCACTAAATGTCGTGGTTGAACATTTAGCAGTTCTGCTTCAAAATTTAGTTGTCCTGGATTAATATACTGGTCGGCAAACCAACTGTCCTAAAGATTTAATTTGTGTGGGCAGTCTTGAACGTGCAACTTCTCGTTTTGCTCATAGATTGTCAGTGTGCTACTTTATATGTCTTTTACAGATATCACTTCTACAACATATTTTGACCGTGTAAGATCATCATCAGGAAGACAATTTTTTGTGATTGGTACACTGTACTGCTTTTTTTAGTTCATTGCTGTAATAGGAGTAGTTGTGTTTTGTTTCAGAATGGTGAGTATGGTTTCAGTGGATGGTGGGTGGTTGTTGAACGATACATTCATTCATTCATTCATTCATTCATTCATTCTATTTGGCATTCATAATTGCTACAACAGTAACACTTGTACAAGTCACATCATTCTTGAAATCCTTTAGCCGAAATGCCTAAAAAATTAGAATTTGCCAACAATAAATAAAATACAGTATTATTAATAATAATATTATAATAATATAGTTATATTATGAACAGCTATCTAAGTGTTGATGTAATTAATCTCCAGGCAAATAATAGGATAATACTTTAACATGGATCATGACTGATTCCTTCTACATCCTTTCAAGTTCGTCATTTAGTTATGCTATACAGGCTGTCCCAGGAGGAAAGGTCAATAATCTGAGAGGTCAGAGTATCAGTCATTCTAAGAAGAATGTGTATGTACAGTGAAACCTGTCTTAAACGGAATCTCAAGGGACCAGAAAAAATTTCCGCTGAAGCCAGGTTTCCGTTCAGTCAAGGTATACTATAATAACTAAACCAGGACATAAACGTATTTGAGACAAAACAAAACAACATGCTCATTAATTTATTCACACTATAATCATTGAACACATGCACACATTACACTGAACAGGAAAAAATTGCAGTACTCACTTTTTATAATTTTACTAGAACTCGAGTTTTTTACTCTCTTGGCTGCCTGACTTTCCACAAACACTTCAGCTTGAGAAATTAAGAGTAAGCGTAGTAAAGATAAGCAGCGGCACGCACACAGGGAGCCTACACAGAATAACACCTGTATGAAAACAAGAAGTAGCCGCTGCAGCACTATAGGCGTGGGGCGAGTAACCCTGAGAATTTTAAATTTTAAATTTTGAAAAAAAAAAAAAAAAATTTAAAGGAATTTTCTAAAATTGGAACTCAAGATTTTAAAAGTGGCAGTTCATGGATGTCAAAATTGATGTGTATGGGTGACAAAGATGATGTACGAATCAGACAAATATCAGCGAAGTAGATCCTGTTAGCCAATTGGGAAGACCTATGTGTTTTTAAAATTTTAAACTGGGTGCAGTGTAACAGCTACGTGAGTGTATACACCTGATGATGGCCATTTGTGGCCGAAAGGTAGTGTGGAAGAAAGCAAAACGAAAGACCTACAATAAATTGTTGCACTTAGGACGAAATTTATATAGAGTAAGCATATCTGAATCATTCTGTAGCACGGCAAACTCCTGCAGTATCTTTAAACTGTTGGCAGCATCCTGATAAGTCTTCACTCTACACTTTTCTTCTTCTATCACAATGTCATTTTCCTCTTCTTCCTCTTCCTCCTCCTCCTCCTCCTCCTCCTCTTCCTCTCTTCCTTTTTGATTTTCTCTAAAATTCTCAACTAATACATCAATATCCATTGTGTCTGGTTCTGTTTGCACATCTTTGTCTATGTTGATGTAGTCCTCAGCATTGCAGTTACTGAAAGCAGCTTCATTCATGCAATGTTGTGAGTCCTTCTGGTCATTCTCATTTTCTACACTAGGAGTAACTTCTACCGTAGAAAATCCTTCTTTTTTGAAACACTTTGTCACAGTTTCTGGTAACAACTTCTTTACTGCTTGACTTATCCAAATAACCGCATCTAGAACCGAGACAGTTCTTGCAAGTTCAGAGGCGGATGATGTAGAATCTATATTGACGAGCAAAGATTACATTAATAATTTACGATAATGGACCTTAACATTCCGAATGATGCCATGATCCACTGGTTGAGAAACACTAGTGGTGTTTGGAGGGAACCAAGCAAGTCGCACATTGGAAAGTTCGATATGGGGGTGGCATGTTGCATTATCCAAGAACAACAAAACATGCCAGTTTTGCATTTTCATTCTACCATTGAAGGCTGTTAACCATTCCTCCATGATCTGTGATGTCATCCATGCCTTTTTATTGGATCTCCACTCAACGGGAAGTTTCTGTATATCCATGTTTCGGAAGCATCGTGACTTTGCTGCCTTGCCAATCACTAAGGTTTTCTCCATTTCACCTGACATAAAACCACATAGAAAAACAGTCAATCTTTCTTTGCACAGTTTTCCTCCCAAACATTTTTCACCTTTCAGACATAGCGATTTATTCAGAAGCGCGCGGAAGAACAGTCCAGTCTCATCACTGTTCGCTATGTATTCAGGTTCATACCCCTTGATTATGGATGGCAATTTAGCTTCCCATGCCTCAATGGTCTCACTATTTACATCACTTGATTCGCCACAAAGTTCGTTAAAAACTATCCGATGCATTTTGCGAAAACTCTCCAACTGTCCATTAGATGCTTTGAATTCAGTCTTCCCCAGTTTTTCAGCGACTTTTTTAGCATATTTGTGTACCATAGGACCCGACAACCGGTGATTTTTCGCCCTCACACTGACAAACCACTCCCACACTATTTCATTAACGTCTCCGTTTGCAGTTTTCTTAAGTTCTCTTTTTATTTTTCCATTAGCACAAGTTTCCCACCGCTTCAAAATTTCCATTTTCTTCTTTAGAATCTTATACACTTGAGTGTTACTGACGTTAAACATCTTCATGATCTGCTTAACAGACAATTTATCTCGCTCACTCACATGAATCACTTTTAATCTTGTGTTAATGTCAAGCACAACTCTTGTCTTTGTTGCCATGATGACAACTGCTAGACTAAAGTAAAACTGTAGGCATAGAGCCCTTACTGAATACAATTTCCACAAGAGGAAAACAATTCTGCTGAAGCTCAGTGCAGGTAGTGCAGTACCATTAGAAGCTTATTTTAAAGAGTTAGGGAAAACAAAATTCTGTAAAATGTATAGGATGCCTAAAATTATTCTAAACGATGCATTCCGGAAGACTGGAAATTCTCCGTATAAAGGCTTATTTTGATTTCCGTTGTCCACGTTAGACAGTTTCCGTTTAATCCAGATTATTTTAACATTTTTTCCAGCCCCAAAGTCAAGGGACCTGAAAATATTTCCGTTTAAGGCAGGTTTTACTGTACATGTGTCTTATTCCAAACGGTTTCTGAGATAGAGCTATTTTATTATACAGTAGTTTGGATTTGGCATGCAGTATTGTCCTTCCCTCCCCCGTTTGAATCGGTGTGAAGCATCACTTGGCCATTGTGACTGTTGATAATGACATTGTAGGAGAGTTGTAAAAATGTCGCACACCGTCACATTTTGCCAGATATGCTGATATGCTGTATTCTCTTCTCACATGAGTTGCAAAGTGCATAGATGTTATAGTGGAAGCTTCAGAAATGTATTATACTAGGTAAACTACATAGGTCATTTCAGAAATAATGCACACAATTTTTTGTTTATGTCCATGTTTATTTTTTTTAATCTCTCTCTCTACAGTCCTTCAGTATAGTCCCCCTGCCTCTCACTGACTGAGTACCAACGTGTGGGAACCTTTACTATTCCATCCAGGACATCATCTTTGTTTATCTGTCGAATGGCTTGGATACCTGCAGCAGAAAGCCCTTCCAGAGAAGGAAAACAACGGCCTTGCATAAGTTGTTTCAACTTTGGGAATAAGTTGAAGTCTGGTGGACTCATATCCAGGCTGTAGGGAGCATGAGGCAACACCTCCCAACCGTATTGGCGCAGCTTTTCTGTTACGACATTCCCGATATGCGGGCGAGCGTTGTCATGGAGAATGATTGGCCCAGCCTCGAGCAACTGAGGTCGGTTTTTGTGCATTTTTCTGCGCAGATTTTGCATAAAGTCACGATAATAAACTGCTGCACGGAACTCTGTCATGATGATTCCTTGTTGATCATAAGCAAAGATCATTGTTTGTTTGACCTTTGATTGAGACCGTTGAAATTGGTTGTGGGGAAGGTGGACCTCTCAAGTCGCTGGACTGTGATTTCAGCTCCAGTTCAAAGTCTCTAACCCATGTTTCATCAATAGCGACAAGTCAATACAAGAATGCTTGACCTTCAATGTCGAATCTTTGTTTCAGCAAGGTTGCAATGTCGAGGCGTTTCTGCTTCTGTTCAGCAGTCAAGCAGTGAGGGACCCATCATGCAGAAATCTTTCTCTTCTTTAAATCATTTGTCAGAATTCGGAATATTGACATTAGTGGAATCCCCGTGGTTTCAGAAAGTTCCTCATATGTCGCTGACGATCTTCAAGAGCATCTGACACAAGTTTCACACTTCGTTCATCTGTTGATGTTTTTGGCCTTCCTGGCCTTGGATCATTGTTTATGCTCACACGCCTGCCACGAAAACGACTAGCCCAACGAGAAACTGTACTACGGTCCACTGCTAACTCGCCACAAACTTCACTTAAAGCACTGTGGATTTCTGTCGGTTTTTTTCCACGTAAAGTTTCGATCTTAATGTACGACCTTTGAGCTTCAACAGTCACAATACCCGAGAACCGTGCAGGATCCATTTCTAACTCAACGTTATTTAAGAACAGAGTACATTATAAATGAAACAAAATAGCGCGCTTCTTTCTCAAGCGCTGAACTGTAACTGATGTGAGGCTCACTGTTGTTGCGTCATCTAATCTGCAGTGTTGCCAACCTGTGCATAATTTATGAAATGACCCACATATACCAACATTGTCACTTGCACAGTAAATTAGAAACAGTACATAATATCTCTTTCTTATCAACAATTTTGGAACTGCATAGTGAAATAGTTCTATCTCGGAAACTGTCTGGAATGGGACACATATACATATACACTTTTTTGCTTAGAATGATCAATAATATGACCTCCCAGAATATTGACCTTTCCACCTGGGACACTCTGTATAATCCATGCAATTGAAAAGTGCCATTCAACAAATGAAGCTACCAAACATTACAGTCCAGTGGTTAGCACGCAATTTCATATTTGAGAGGTTTTAGGTTAAAATCTTGGCTCAGAGACTAACTATCCTGACTGTGTTCATGGTCTTCCTCAGTCCTTCCAGACAAGTGGCTGGATGATGCAGATGCTGTCACCAAGCTGGCAGCTGAGCCTTGGCCTAGTGATAGTAGGTGAGAGGGTGGGAGGGAATTAAAATCGGGTTTTCTGCTGCAGGACTAGAGATTCTCAGAGCAGTGGTTATGAAAAGTTCCTTCTTCTGGGCTGTAACACCATGTTGTCCGTTGAAAGTTAGCTGACATTTCAGAGGAACATGTCACATCCATTTTCATGGTTAAGAGGAAGCCAAATATGAAACCAGAATGAAGCAAGCTGATGGTACAAGTGATTACTGATGGTAGTTATGTATCATGCCTTAGGCTTATGTAGTGTTCGTAGGTAATTTAAAAGCCAGCAAAGGTTAAGTTTGCAGACTGCCAACAGCAACTGTACGTCAAATGAGGTAATGACCAATTCATCTGTTAGTCATTATTGACTTATTGTCTTTTCAATTGACACTGTATAGTCTGAGCTACCAATGGCATTGTTAAACCACAAATGAATTAATAAATCGGTGAAGCTACTCATCAACAGGGATATGCACTATGCTGCGAAAACTATGAGTCCCTTTATGTTGTACTAATTTGTTGAAGAGTTGCTTTCAAGAAATGTTCATAATGTGTATATATTAACCGTCTTTTAGTGCATACAGTTTCACTTGTCACTTCACACTACATGTTTCAGCATCATTCTGCCATCCTCAGGTGTATTAATCACGTTAAACCATTGCACTGCCTGCCATCAAGTGTCCATTTATAAAATGATATAAAATGTGTGTTTGTCATTGTTAAATAATAAATTTATATATTAAAACTTGTTAAGATCTGTCATCTTACATGTTGTAAGGTTTACCAAGTAAAAGAAATTGCAAAAGAAAATAATCCTTCAGCTAGTTATAAATGCCAAGAAATATAAATCAAAAAAGGAAATAAAAGCTTGATAAAATCAGTACAAAACAAAGTGCTAAGAGTGTCCCATCAGAATATAAGAGGACTGAGAAATAAATCAAATGGATTAATAAGCTTCATGCATTCAAGTCTCCCGCACATACTGTGCCTTACTGAACATCACATGAAGCAGCTGGAATTAGAACATTTTCACATAGAAAATTATAATTTAGGAGCTAGATATTGTAGACAAATGCTAGAGAAAGGAGGAGTGAGTATTTTTGTACATAAAAATGTGAAATTTACTAAAATCAATTTAGAAGATTATTGCAAAGATCAGGATCTAGAAGCCTATGCTTTAAGGTTAGACTCTACTTTTTCTGATATTTGTGTACTGACTTTATATAGAGCCCCATCTGGGAATTTTGATCAATTCTTAGATAGATTACAAACCATCCTCAATGTACTGCGTAGTCCAAAAGTTGAATTTCTAATTTGTGGTGATATAAATGTAAACTATCTCATTGATAGTAATAGGAACTAAACTTAGATTCTTTGGTATTATCTTACAATCTCTCCAGTACTGTTAACTTTCCCACAAGAATTCAAAATAACTCTAAGTCAGCGATAGATAATATATTCATTGATAACTCAAAAATAAGAGACTTTACTGTAGGACCCTTTATAAATGGCTTGTCCGATCATGGGGCCCAACTCATATAAATAAATAATATTAACCTTCAGCCCAATAATCAACAATATAAAACAGTAAGGAAACTCAACAAGCATATGATAGCAGATTTTGTCACAAAATTAAGTAATGAATCTTGGGACACTGTATTTGACAGCAGTGATATTGATTCTAAATTTAATTGCTTTCTGAACACATACTTGAGGATCTTTTATTCAAGCTTTCCCTTAAAAGTAGTAAAAAACGACATTAAAAACAAAACCACCTGGATAACTGTTGGAATAGAAACTTCATGTAAACATAAAAGACATCTATATTTGGCCAGTAGGGACAGTAATGATCCAAGACTAAAAAGTCACTACAAAATGTACTGTAAAATCTTGTCAAAAGTCATTAAAGAAGCCAAACACAATAATTATAACAACCAGATTCTAAAATCAAACAATAAAATTAAAACCACCTGGGATATTGTGAAAGTTGAATCGGGAAAGAAAACTGTTAATGAAGATGTACAAAGTTTGAATATTGAAGGAAAGTCTACTAATAATCCACAAGCTATTGCGAGTGCATTTAATGAATATTTCCTCTCATTAGTTGAGAAAACATATCGTAATAATAATAATAATAATAATAATGATCCAATATACTATCTGTCACATTCCTTTAATAGTTCATTTCCAAATATAAATCTCAAATTCTCAATAATAAAGGAAATTGAAAACATTATTAAATCCCTTAAGCCCAAAAATTCACATGGATATGATGAAATTTATACCAATTTCCTTAAAGCAAGCTCTGTTTACATCAGTTCACCATTGAATCATTTGTGTAATAAATCTTTATCATCAGGGATTTTTCCGAGACGCTTAAAATACGCTGTAGTGAAACAACTTTTTAAAAAATGCGAGAGAACATGCATTTCTAACTACAGACCAATATCTATACTGACTTCATTCTCAAAAGTCTTTGAAAAAGTTATATATAACAGATTACTTGAACAATTAAATTCTAACAACATGTTAGTCAAAGAACAGTTTGGATTTAGGAAACACAAAACCACAGAAAAAGCAACCTATGAACTAACCAACGATATTTTAAATGTTCTCAATAACAGATTAATAGTGGGAGGGATTTTCTGTGATTTAGCAAAAGCTTTTGATTGTGTAAATCATGATACCTTACTATCAAAATTAAATTTCTATGGAATAACTGGTAAAGCTAATGAATGGATCAAATCATACCTCAAGAATAGGTACCAAAGAGTGGAGATAAAAAGCAAAAATTCCAGTTCTAATGCGTTTTCAAACTGGGGAATCATAAAACATGGTGTTCCACAGGGATCAATTTTGGGCCCCTTCCTTTTTCTTCTCTACATAAATGATCTATCAAAAACCATCAATAATAAATCTAAACCAGTTCTATTTGCAGATGACACTAGTATAATATTTAAGAACTCTAAAATTGAAGACTTTAAAAATGATATAAATTTTGTATTTGAAGCTTTAAATAGATGGTTCAAAGCCAATAAACTCTCACTAAATTTTGATAAAACCCATTACATACCATTCTTAACTAAAAACAGCCACCAAATTGATCTGGTCATCAGTTATGCCAACAAATTAATCTGTAAAGCACCTGATACAAAATTCCTTGGAATACATGTAGACAGTACACTGTCTTGGAAAATACATATAGAACGAACTATACCTAAATTAAGTACAGCTTGCTATGCAATGAAATCGATTAAGCCCTTTATGCCACAGGGAACACTGAAGATGGTTTACCATGCCTACTTTCATTCTATTATGAACTATGGATTAATATTTTGGGGGAACTCTTCACATAGTGTAAAAATTTTTAAGATACAAAAGAATGTAATTAGAATCATTACAGGACATAGAAGTAGAGATTCATGTAGAGATTTATTTAAGAGATTAAAAATTCTACCTCTTCAATGGCAATATATACTATCGCTTCCCTTATTTGTTGTGTACAACAAAAATAAATTTGAATTAAATTCCAATATCCATAACATGAATACTAGACAAAAATATAACTTCCATCTACCTTCATCAAACCTATCACTATATCAAAAAGGAATCTACTTTTCTAGCATAAAAGTGTACAATAGTCTCTCACAAAGTATCAAAAACTTGAGTAAAGATACTAAACATTTTAAATCAGAGCTAAAGATATATCTGCATGCTCATTCCTTCTACTCTGTAGACAAATACCTCAATGTAAATAGAGAATAATGTAGAATTAAGCTATATTAGTTTAAGATAAAATTACTTTTACCAGTAGGTATTATTTTGACTTGTTCTATGTCCAGAGGTATTAACCTACTTAGGATCTATGGAATGCAAATAAATTCAATTCAATTCACATATCAAACTCAAACACACATACGTCCAGCAATACAACGCACGCAGCCACATAATAAAAACACATCATAAGACACAGTATATACACAGTTAAAACATAAGAACGACGACTCCCATAGCGGATGAATGGCATTACACACGAGTTTGATATACAACATGTAAGATGATAGATCTTAAGTTTTAATATATAAATTTAATATTGAACAAGGATGAACGCACATTTTAGATCATTTTATATATGGACACATGATGTCAGGCAGTGCAGTGGTTTAACATGATTAATACACCTGAGGATGGCAGAATGATGCCGAAACATGTAGTGTGAAGTGACAAGTGAAATTGTATGCACTAAAAGACACACACATATACATATATACACATTATGGATATGAATCAGTGCAACAGGACACTAAAATACGTTATTCAAGAAATGTTATTAAAGTTCAGTTTGATCTTCATATTCATTAGGGATTATTCTGGATAAGTAGTATAAATAAAAATAAGGTTTGCTTTATCACTTTTTTTGTATAGGCCCCTTAACACTGCTTCATTGAAATCTGTTGAACTTTTGGAAATAGAACATGCAGATAGGAAGAGTGACCTACCCATTGTGTATACTTAGAGATTTTATATGAAGGACACAAGAATTAATTCCCTCTTTTGTTCAGTCCTGATCATGGATACTCTTCAGGAGTGCCAAAATGTTATTACATTGTGATACCAATTGGTTTGACATTTAATGAACATATTCTGATGTGCTGTGACATAACAGGAACTGTACACAAAGATGAAGAGAGAGGGGAGAGAAAAGGTGTTATGTTGCCCCAGTTTGAAATAGTGATAGAGCCTGAAGAAGAGCTGCCTGATGATTTGAGAACTGAAGAAGAAAGGGTACAGGAATTTGAGAGAATGGTTCAGGAAGGCAAGGCAGGAACTTTGCAAGGTTTGTTTTTATTTATTTTTTATTTTTTTTTTTGGAAGTGTGTCATTGTAACTTGTACAAGATAATGTACAGGCCATGAATATTGAACCACTAAGTTGGTTATTGGTAAACGAGTTGTGTATATGCTTTACCCGTGACAGCTTATTACTGCCACGTACATAAGTGCAGGCCTTACTACAGCTGTATAAAACCACATTATTTGGAGTAGGACTGTGTACTATTGAGACCATGGCAGAGTTTCAAGGCTGTTACAGCATATGCATGTAAGTTACACTCTTCACCAGGTTCTATTAAGGAGGATAAGATGGAGAGAGACGCAGCACTTATGCATACACAGTTTTATGTGGAAAATGTGAAGGGAAGAGACCACTTGAAATACCAAGACTAGATGGGCAGGTAATATTAATATGAATCTGAAAGAAATAGGATGTGGATTGGATTCATCAGGCTCAAGATAGTCCTGTAGTATGAACATGGTAATGAACCTTAAGTTTCACAAAAAAATGCAGGAGGTTTCTTTCTGTGCCAACTGTCAGCTTTTCAATGACTCATGTCTGTGGAGTTGTTTAGGTGTTCAGTCTTTTGATCACATACTGCACATCTTCACCTGAAATTTAATTTGTGACTAGTTACACAGCATGAACTGACATTCTGTTTATTTCTCATTTGTGTATAGGATTCTTAAGTTACAACTCTAACATTTAGCCTGGGAATGAATGTATTTGTGAGATTTTTAATTTTTCATTATTCATGTGTGATTCTTGAGCAGCTGTTTAAAATAACACTGGAATGCTAAACTTAAAGGAAAATATTTTTCTAGATGACATTTCAGTCGAACTACAGAAGGTAACATCACCTGAAGACAGACAGTTTTCTAAGTTCACTTCAAGGATAAAAAGAAACCCCGATCAAGTCTTGCGTTATAATAGAGGAGGTGTACCTCTCTGGATATCTACACACCACATACCAAATGAGGAGGATATTCCTCATTGTGAGTACTGTGGAACGCAGCGCCAGTTTGAATTTCAGGTCAGTAACAAGTTAGTTTGTCCTTCGTTTATTAGTAAAATCAATTTCATAGTAAAAATTTTAAGAAATGGGGACAGACCGCACTAGGATAGTTGTATAAAAATTGCATATGTAACGTTTCCCAACCTTCAATTCACAGACATGTAAGACAGCAGCTGCATTGTCAAATAGTATTCTGTAAGTCTAATTATGATTAACATTTCAAATAAATGCTGAAAAATGAAGAGATGCTGTAGATACAATAAAAACCTGCTATTAAGGATTATGCAAAGTCTGAAAACCCAGTAACTGTGAGGGACAGACTGTTTGGTTGTAAAGAGGAAACAAGAAATGAAAAAAGCACACCAGTTGTAAAGTAGCACCATTTCCAGCTTTACTGAAAGATGTATGAGGCTAAATTATATTTGAAGACTACTGGTTGAGAAATGCTGTAGTACTGAATGGAATTAGCTGGCAGGTTGGTTGTACCATGCCCAAAGGTCAGATTTTGTGTAACTTTTATATTTGAAGCTAACTGGAGCGGATGAAATATTTCTGGAGCAATTACTTACCTGGGTCTATAACTTTAGTTGAAGACCAGAATCTACCCTCTTACTAAATATATCAAATTAAAAAAATCTTTGGAGGTATTATAGGGCTCAGTGACATGTTATATTATTGATGAATTATGGTTCTACATATTGATTGTGTAAACCACTACAGAGGGAAGCCAGTGTAACTTATCTGATATAGCTCAAACCGGAGTAGATCATTGCATAAACATGCCCACACACACAGCTTAGGTAGTGGTGGATGGCAGTCTCTCAGGCTATGACTTCCTTTGTGGCTGCAAATGTCATGTACCCTACAGATTTCTAAAAAAATATAATTTCTTCATATTGATAATGGCTAGCACAAGGGGTAGTCCAAATGTAAGGAAAGGAGTCATAGTCTGAGAAAAAAAATAGTCTACATTTTGTGTGTTTACACTGTGAATTGTGTAATTTTAACTGGTAGTACAGGAATGCAGCAAGACACACTTCTGCAGCATACCCACTATCCCATTCCTTACATTATGATACAGGTAGAAAAGTTCTAGGTACATCAAACATGTAATACAAGGGCTATTCAGAAAGTAACCATCATTTATTTTAGGCAACTGAGGTAGGAGTAGGGGAGAGGTAGCATCACATGACTCTTTGCCTTCTAAACCATCACATAACTGGTCACCTGGTGTTTGTTCTTGTCTCTAAAGAGAGTGTTATGATGTGTCTTGCGATTGATAATCCCTCTAACTGTGAAATTCACACTGTTATCCATTTTCTTCACACATACATTTTTTTCTCATTGCTAATTTTGTTAACAGCTCACCGGAGATCACTTTCCAACTAGCCCTTGTGTTGAGTATTCTGTCTTTTTTTATATAATACTTTGTAAAGTGAAAGTCAACCAGATATTTCAGAGGGACAGGTCTCTTCCATCTGAAGATGAAAACTACATGCTGTTATATCCTAGAAGATAGAATTCTTCATAGCAATGGATGTCAGAACCTTAGATCTGACTAAGCAATATTAAATTGAAGTTTTAAAAAAGTTAGTTGATAATAATGAAATGTCCATACAGCAACGCAAGACAAGAGAATAACAAAAATAGCTAAAATTTGTTATATCAACTTATACTGAATCTGAGCTAAACTGTTTCAGGAATTTTTGTAACTATTGAAATAGTACAAAAGTTCTGAGATTTTGTGTTCATCTGTTTTTATGCATGAAAATTTTGTAGATTCTTCCTCAGATGCTGAATTACCTGGGACTTGACAGCACTGAGGACAGTGTGGATTGGGGAACACTGGCAGTTTACACTTGTTCCCAAAGCTGTGATGAGGGTCCAGCATACAAGCAAGAGTTTCTCTGGAAGCAAGACATCATATCCTGAAATATTCCTTTGAGCATTAGATCAGACTTTTAATATGCTGTAATTTTTATAACACTGTCTCACCTAATGTTTCCCACAATTTTGTACCTTTAAAGAATGAAGTTGTTCCAAAGTTCACTTTGCAGACTTTTTATAAATACTGTCAAGTGGTATGTGTGACAAGAATGGTGGGTTATAGTTCAGATGATTGGATTTATTAGCACTTCAGTTACAATCTGTCTTTTATCACATTTAAATACAGTGCTATTGCTGATTTACACACATTGGTCCCCTCCTGGTACCACAATTAAAACACAGGAACTAGCGCTTCAAATCACTCCAAATAAAGTCTTCTAATTGCACTTTAAATCTTCACAAGTCGAACTTTCCGTGGCTGTCTTCTACTGAGAACTCAGAACTCTGTCACTCACTGCCTTGGTTAATCTTGGGAATCTCATATATCCATGGCGTGGACCATACAGAAAACGGTCTCTACTGTTGAGGTTTGTTTACCAAGCCGTTGCATAGCAGCGGTCATGGCGCAGACCCCATAGAGCAGTGTTTCTTAACCACCGGACCGCGGCCCGGTACCAGGCCCTCGTGTTATAAAAAACAGAATTTACCGGGCCGCGATCTCACAAAGGTTGAGAATCACTGTCTCTATTGTTGCGTAATGTACCGTGTTTACAGAGCTCCTGCATGGCAGTGCATTGATCAAATCCTGGTGCATTGCTCCCGCTGCTTCCTCCTTAGGGACACTTGTCCCAGGCAGCTCCCTGATAGGGTTCCAGTTAGTCCAGGTTCTCACCATAATCCAAAGTTTTCTCTCTCTGTCTGTCTGTCTCTTCCAACAATGGGGGCTATAACTTCTGGAGTGGCTGGTGCTCCCACATATCCAGTTCTTACACTAATGCTGCTGCTTTCTCTGCTTCGGAGGGGGTCGACATCTCCACAATGTCCAATCCTTGTATTCTCAGTCCAGAGGGCACCAATCCCCGCACACTGTCCAGTCTGTCACCTTCCACAACCCACTGAACATCCCGCATGCTCTCTTCACAAAATCAAGTCTGAAAGCCTTCCTGTTGATTCTGTCTGATGTCCTCTTGATCTTAACCTTTAACATACGGACTTTGAAAATTGCCAGGAACCCCCTGCGGCCGGTATTTAAATCACCCTGATTAATTAAATTTGCAAACCGTCAGAAAAAAATCCATATTTTCCGTTCTATGCAACATAGAAGTAAAAACTAAAAACAACCTGAAAGACAATAAATTTTTCTACATGTACACAGAAGAGCAATTTATACAAATGAAAATTAACTGTGATTATTTTGTCGTGAATTGCAAAATATAATCTTTATTGTATATGTTATGAAATTCTAAAGGACTTACCCGCTGTTTTTTCTTCAGCCTTGAATCATGGTGATATTGTAAATATAATCACACTATATACTTGTACAATAATATTTTGTTCAGACTGTACGCGAGTTTGAACTGCGTCACTTCACAGTTTATGATAACTCGCACTCGATGCGTGTGTACTACTTCTCGAAGCAGTCTAACATGCATAGCGCAACCCACGTCTCGAAGCAGCCGAACACACACAGCGTAATGTCACACTTTTTACAGTAGTAGAGCGTGCTTCTGCGCTTCTTATTCTGAGAACATATACGTCTTAGTTTCCCTTTGATTGGCCAGTGTTGTGAATGTTTCACCTCCAGTCGACTCAGTTGGGGCTCCAGCTAACCTTGGCCTCCCCCGAGAAACACCACTGACCATGATATTCGCCTTGTGATATTCAGCTTTGAGACTTGGTGATATTGTAAATATAACCACTCTATATACAATAATATTACTGTAGGCGAGTTTGAACTGCATCACTTCACAGTCACTTCATTATGATAATCACACTGACGTGCGTGGCACTTCTCGAAACAGTCCACTTCACACAGAGCAAAATCACACTATTTACAATAGAAGAGAGTGCTCCTGCTTTTCTTATTTAGTGAAACACACAACGTCTTTGTTTCCCTTTGGTTGGCCAGTGTTATGACTTTTTCAAGTCCAGTCAACTCAGTTGGGCCCCCTGATAAATTTGGCCTTCCCCCGAGAAACGGCACTGACAGTGATATTCAGCTTGTGCGATTGAAGAATCATCTTGGAGGAGGGGGGTTTCTAGCAAAATCGAATAAATGATGTTGATTGACAAAGCAACACTCTCACCTGTTGGTAATATTCGCAAAATAGTGATGCAAAGTAATTATAATACTAGTTGAAAAGAGTNATATATATATATATATATATAAAGAAATATATGACAGTCTGACACTGACTGTCTAACTGATAATTCGCCACTGAAAACCAATCCTTGAAGGCGTCAGACTTCCTCGAAGGCTCTGCAAGCGTTCATATGCAAGCACCGATAAATATTTCCTCAGTTCTCGAAACAAAGCTGGGCTATATTTGGCTGACCAGGTCATAGACAGTCATATCTAAACGTAAATAGTATCAAAACCAGTACTGTGATAAACAATTTCTTTGTTCAGAGCTAAGGAATGAACCACTGACATGACCTCACATAGGTTTGTTTTGGTTTCCAACCCAAGGTCAAACTGCCAGCACTCCCAAAGAGAGCACGTGTCCTGCGACCTATATACAGGTCATTCAGCCAACTCCGGTTCCTGCTTGCGACCTGTGTATGTGACATTCGGACATTAAAGGTTAAGATGCAGTTGCTGCCTTGTGCCTGGGTTCTTTATTCTCATTCTGCCTTGTAGCTGCTGTCTCTGGCCTTGGTCCCTTATGCCATTGTTGGATTCAAGGCCTTTCCACAGTCTCTTACCATCCTTTCGGGGTTCCTTGTTCTGCCTGGTTCCTGGTCCATTCTTTCCTGACAACATTTTCCCTGCACCATGCCTCTTGCACAGTGGGTCATCTTCCTGCCAGCGACGGTCAATCTCTTCTGGGATTCACAAGTTGCCTGGCTCCTTCCCTTCGGCTTCTGACAGCACCCCATGGCCAGATTCTGGTCCCTATGCTGCTTCTTCAGTCCTCCGACTGGCATCACTGTGGCTTCTTCCTTGGGGACTTCTGATGCTCCACTATAGAATGCATCAGTCTTGGATCCAGCTGAATCTTCTCAGTATATGCCTCCATCTCTGGGCAATCAACCTTCATGTGCACTATCCAGGCATTAACTATGGACCTTATTTCCTCTTGGCCAGATTTAATTTCTTCTTTATCTCCTTTAGCTTTATGTTCATTATTTCCTTTAGAGCTTCTCAGTTGGCATTTCTTGATCAGTTTTCCTGTTGGCGTTCCTGTCCTCTTTCATTTCATTCATGTTCTTGATTGGTTCCTATTTCAACCAGCAGGCGTGACATCATTTGTCTCCATAATGTGGCGATATACTACCCAATGCAACCATAAATCTAATGTAATATAAATTCTTTTGCCATTTCCAGTTTTCACGAGTTTATGGCTTCATGACAAGTGACACCAAATTGTCACGTATTTACGGCTGTAACCACTGTTGAAGAATCCAATAACAATCTTAAGCTACCAACTTCTAACACCAAATGTCACATGCCGGGTGGTACATAGGATGAGAATGACGGGTTCTGTTTTGGATGATTACATTTATTTGGACTTAGGTTACATTGTCACTTGATCACATTTAAATACAGCGCTATCACTCATTTGCACACACTGGTCCTCTCCTGGTAACACAAAACACAGGAACTAGTGCTTCAGATCACTCCAATTATTACACATATATTACATATGAATAAAGACTTCTAATTGCATTTTAAATCTTCACACATTGATGAACTTTCCATGGCTGTCTCGTACGGAGAACTCAAAACTCTGTCACTCACTGTCTTGGTTAAGTCAAGGGTAGAGTCAGAGTTCAATGTAAAATACCTGGGTGTAATCTTCGATAAGAGGATTGAAGTCAAAGTCAAAGTCACATTGCACCTGACGGTAAGTCAGTCTGCCTGTCTGGGGCTCATGACCAGATGTTTTCTTCTTATATGAAAGTTGCTGTCCTGTCCATTTGGGGTGCCCTCTCTGACAAGAGGTCAGGTCTATCATTTGTCAGTCAGAGTCTGTATTAGCAAGTCCATTGTCAGTATTTACATATATTTACAATTTAATCTTAGCCTTAATTCCTACTTCTATGTACTATATATACAAGGCGTATGTCAGTTCAGGCTCAGCACAGCAGATTATGTCCTATTTCTAGTAGTATTCGCTACCATGGCAGTCTAGTCACTTGAACGGTCATATGCCTGACTGCCACCAAGTTTAAGGCTCTTATACTTTCTGTGTCAGGCTTCGTCTGTTGGCTCCTTAGTCAAAGTCACATTGCGACTGACGGCCGGTCAGTCAGTCAGTAAGTCTTGGTGTCAAGCCCGTTTTACAGTTATGGTCTTGTTTTTTGTGGGGCGCCCTCTGATGAGAGGACGGGTCTGCCATTCCTACATTCTACTGGCTCTTGCCAGCACAGTCTTTCTCGGGTCCAAGTACCTTGGTACCCACAACCATATTTTACTGTCTCAGATTTGAGACTTCCTGTTGGCTCCTTAGTCAAAGTCAAAGTCATGTTGTGACTGACGGTCAGTCAGTCTGTCTGTCTGTCTATCTCGGTGTGAAGCTCATGACCAGTTCCCCCCCCCATATGAAAGTTACTGTCCTGTCCATTTGGGGTGCCCTCTTTGACAATAGGTTGGGTCTGTCATTTGTCAGTCATAGTCCATATTAGTAAGTCCATTGTCAGTATTTACATATATTTACTAATTTAATCTTAATTCCTGTTTCGATAAACAATATATACATCTCTGTCAATCCAGGCTCAGTACAGCAGATTATGCCCTATTTCTAGTAGTATTTGCTACCATGGCAGACCTCTGCTAATCCAGGCTCAGTACAGCAGATTATGCCCTGTTTCTAGTAGTATTCGCTACAATGGCAGTCTAGTCACTTGAACGGTCATATGCCTGACCGCTACCAATTTTGAGCCTCTTGTACTTTATGTGTTGGGCTTTGCCTTGTCTGATGTTGCAAACATTCTCATTATCATGATTTTATATGACTTCTGCTTGTTGCCTGCCTAATTTTGTTATATAGTCATATATG